GGAGGCCAAGTCTCATTTGTCGGAGATCTTGTCTGCTTTCGAGATGATGGACAACCAAGCGCACTCGCTAGTCCACCGCGTCACGCAAAACAAGCGGCCGCTCGAGAGCGAATATCCCTTCTACTGTCTGGTCGAGACAAGTGGGTCCAACACCGAGCACGACAGCGAGAAGCTCCAGGCCTTCCTTGAGGATGTCATGGAGAAGGGGATTGTCGCGGACGGAACCCTCGCAGAGAACGAAACTCAGATCCAGTCTCTTTGGGCCTGGCGCGAGGGTATCGCAGAAGCCCTTGGTCATCTCGGCGGGGTGTACAAATACGACGTCTCAATTCCGCTCAAGGATATGTACAAGCTCGTCGAGGACACCCGGACTCGGATCCGAGAAGCTGGCTTATTAGGCGATACCGAAGAGCACCCCGTTATTGACGTTGTCGGCTACGGACACATGGGTGACTCAAACCTGCATCTCAACGTGGCCACGCGCCATTTCGACAAAAGGGTCGAGAAGGTATTGGAGCCGTTCGTATACGAATGGATCAAAGAGCGACAGGGCAGCATCAGTGCCGAGCACGGACTCGGCATCGCCAAGAAGAAGTACATCGGATACAGCCGCAGTGACACCATGATCGAGCTGATGAAGCAGATCAAGAAGCTATATGACCCGGTAAGTTTTCAAGCTCAGACCCAAGGCCGTGTATCTTTTCATGATGGTGTGCACGTCGTATAGTCAGCCACTAACATTTGAGCACCACCAGAACGGCATCATGAACCCTTACAAATACATATGATAAAATAAGCACAGGCCTACAAGCTAGAGAACCGGTTGCGACTGGTTGCAAACTTGCATCGCCTGCTGCCACAGCGCCGACGCGGAGTTCAATCGGTTGCCATTCCCGTTTTGTACATAACTCTCGAGGCAGTAATCTTCGGAAATCCTCGTTCTTTTTTGGCGATTCTTTGAACTTTACCGTCCAAAACGAGTTGGACGTTCACTATTTCGATAACTGTCTCCCCGCATTATGCTCCGAGTGATTTATAATCGGGTACGAGTCGGTTTCTACTTGCCATTTACTTGTGTTGGGTGTGTTCTCGTCGTTCTACGGGTGATGCAGAGCCAGTCAGCTGCTTCTTCACGTCCTCAGCGCCCAGCGCATTTCCCGCGCCTGATCAAGGTCCCCCGAGATACAGAACGGGCTAGTCCGCTCTATTCGCCGCGGTACGCATTGGCATTGGGTCATTTTGCGCGGTCCAATGTTGACGAGTCCGCAGGCCGGCGGTGGCTCATCTCCTCCACACCTCCACTCTTACATGCAGCAACACCTCCGAAAAGCCCACTGGTGCCAGACGATCCAGAAAGACCATGCACTTGCAAAGAGGCCCGAAGGTCTAAAGTCAGACAAGCAGGTACTAGACCGAAGTTGACATGGCGCATATGTCAAGTCGCCAATGCACCTCAGCCCCAATTCGTTTGCCTGCCAAAGAAATAAAGCACTTACAACGTCGACCAACCAGGTCTCGGACCTGGCCGGTCGACCGTTAAGGCGGCCAACCCCCCCCCCCCCCCCCCCCAATGGGTGGTGGTGGGCCATCCCCTACCGAGCTGCAGCCCTGTAGGGCTCACGCCATCCAGGTTATGCAAGGTTCTTATTACTTTCAGAGTGGTATGCGCGCGGAAGGTTGCCCGCATGTAGCCCGCACTATGATGCATCCTTCCAGAAGGCGCTGCGTTCTCACTGCGGGAGAGATACACCGGTCGCAGACCGCCTCGAGCTACCTAGATCTACCTCTACACCCCCCCCCCTGCGGCCCACTCGGATCATATCGCGCCAGGATCCCTTCAGCTTCACCCACCACACCCCTTCTCCCCATCAAGGCTTCTGAGTTCTGACGTACTGCAGCACACAGGCTACCTCTTGGGGGGGTTGCTCACACTCTACACTGTTCGCTTGCTTGTGTAGTAGGGAACCTAGAGGAACCTGCGCCGCGCGCTTGTAGAAGCTCGATCTGTCCGCTTCTTTCGGGTTAACTCCGAGGCCACGCTCCCTTCATGGTTCCAAAACCACAAGCCACTTACGTCCGCCGGAGTTGCTTCCTGCTGGTTAGATTCTACAGTTGACTGGGTTGACTCCACTCCACTGTCCAGCCAAGCCTGGTGTGAAGGCGTGACGGCAGCAATGCTGCTCTCGGGTCCTCTGATCCTGGTCCGAAGCTGTTCCAGTTAGTCCGGCCGGCTCCCTGTCGTTTGTAGACGAAACTCCCGGCTGGATTGGAGACAATTATATCTACCTCGAATCCCGTTCCTCGCGGCTACTGAGCTTACCCAAGTATAATATGCGTTATAACAAGCTTGGGGAAATTCAAGCATCTGCTAGCATGGTGGACCGCACGCCCGTGAGGAACAGGGGAGCAGGGTTCCAGACACTTACCCTACTTTGACCATATCTTTCTTGCAGAAGGATCTGCCACGTTACGCAAAACGCACAGGATATAAGGGCTACGCTCTGGTACGCTGGCAAGGGTCCAGTATCTTGTTTCTGGGACCGTTTGGGTACAGCCTTTTACTGCACGTCCTGTCGGTAATTCTTTCCGGTGTCTTGGGTGTAAGATATCTGACTTGTCCCTTGTCGGTTCCTGACCCCCCAGGCTCTTTTTCCATCCATGATACGCTATACAGCATACGCAGTGCAACTCTTTTAAGGATTGGGCTTCTGCTATAAGGTTGTGACGCTTACTCAGGTCTATCCGAAACTCGACCATATACGCGGTGGTAACAGCGATATTGCCACGATGGTTGGCGTTCCCGGCAAGTATAAGGGCTGCGAGACATGCCGGGCACGGAGAGTAAAGGTGATTATCCTCGTTTGCTTCCCTCGGCCGACTCCGGAGCCCCTTAAACTCCGATTTGTTCCTCGACAGCGAGGACAAGTTCTAACCACTATGACTTTCACAGTGCGATAATCAGCGGCCATATTGCAAGAAGTGTCTCGATAATGGACGACAATGTGCTGGGTACGAGCGCGAGACGGTCTTCATCATCGGCACCATCCAGGACGAGGGCCGATGTTCGTCACATCCGCCCCGTGTAGTCAAGTCATCAACGAAACGAAGCGGTAAATCGTCCAGAAGGAAGCAGGAGGAAGAGGAGAAACTAGCACCTGTTCCAGTCGAACCACTCCAGCCAGCGTGGGACGACCTGATCGTCTTATCCAACGCAGGGAAGCAGTACAGAGTGCAACTCGCGGCTCTCCAGACGTCGCTCCAAGGAGTCATCCGCGGTAAGGACGAGGGAGACTCCTCCAAGTTTGCGTTGATCTCCTTCCCTCCGTACGAGCCATCAAATCCTCAACCATTCCTGAGAGATGATGACTTCGATCTGCGATCACAGTGTCTGGTACACCTCAGAGACGATGGCGGCGGTGACTCCATGGAGACGGACGAGACGGACACCAGGTGCACCGACAGCATCTGCTTGTTTCTGTATCAGGTTTGTTCTTACCTTCTGTCTAGCATCGGCGAGAGAGCAGACACTGACAGGCTGCGATGCCAAAAGCACAACGATTCTGTCATGTTCAGCAACCAGGCCCCTTGGAGAGACCCCTCAATCCAGGCCAACGCCGTAAGACAGGCCGGTCCAGCCAACTTCAGAACCTTTCCAAATCATCACTTCTTCGTTAGGGCCTATCGACACAATGCAGTAAGTTTGCTCACCTTAATAATCACCATTTATCCTCTCAGCCCAGACCAACTTACCGAACCAACCTCCCAAGATCTGCGCCGCCCTCCTCAACCGGAAATCCAGCTTTCTCTCCACGCCAGAATGGCTCAGCACCCCGTGGGAGCTCCACCCGAAATCCGCCTTCGACCGCCTCCTTGACATAATCGTCTTCCTGCCCACCCTCTTCGCCCGCGCCGATCGCATCTTTCCCCACGACCCGACCCTGCAGCGCCGGCTGATGGCCCAGGATCTCCTGGCCAACTGCCTCTCCCTCGAGCGGCAACTCGACGCCTGGCACTCCACCGTCGACCCGGGCAGCTCGGCCGGCAGCAACCCCTGGGGAGGAGGGGCGGCATCATCCACCAGCTCCTCCTCCATCTTCTGGATCCAGGACCCGGACCCGTCCTCCGAGGCCCAGCAGATCCCCTTCGCCGACACCTTCGCCTTCGACTCGTCCCTCTCGGCCGTGACGACGGTCTACTACTGGACCGCCCTCATCCTCTTCTACCCCTGCATCGAGCGCCTGCACGAGACCATCTTCCACCACGTCATGGACACCTTCCCCCAGACGGAGCCCACCTTGCCCCGCCACCTGCAGATCAATCCGCACCGGTACTCGCCGCACAAGGTCCGCGAGCTGGCCGCCAACGTGTGCCGGGCGCTGGACTTCGCGCTGGCCGCCACCGTGCAGCCCGACATGCTCGTCGTGCCGCTGTTCGTCGTGCAGGAGTTCTACCGGGCCATCAACGAGAGCGCGGGAGACGGGCAGCTCGAGCTCATGTGGTGCGAGGGTTTTCGGGCGAGGTTGCAGATGAAGGGGGCCGATATCGCGGACGTCATTAGGTCGAGGACGTGGCGGGATTTGGCGGCTTACTGATGGCTTTTCGAGTTTCTTGATGAAGTGGCGACCAGAGAAGGGGACAGTTGTTGTTCATTTGTTTCAGGGGACACACGGGCTTCAGCTGAACTGAAACGAAACATTCGGGGTGGGTTCCGATTCAATCTCGGGCAACCGTTGGAATACCTACGGGATTCACATGCAGGAGACACTCGGGGGACAGGACGGTCTACATATCATCACATCGCGAGTGAGTGATGCATCAAATTGGATATGCTCCGCACCGCGGAAATGAGGAACTATCTTTTCAATAGATGCCTCCTGATCTATCTATTCTCTACCAACTGACTCGCGCCTACCACTGTCGTCTCAAATGACTCGAGCTCAACGCCTGATCCATCCACAATGAAGACTCTTATGGCCGTCAATCCACATCGAACAACAACAGGGGGTGTAGCTCATCTGGTAGAGCGCGTGCTTAGCATCTCCAGGAGTCGTTCTTCTTCTGAGCGACATACCGGTACATGTTACCTGCACGAGGTACTGGGTTCGACTCCCAGCTCCTCCACGGTTTATTCCTTTTGCCATTTCGATCGTTGGATACAGACTATCTCATGCCCCATATCGGCCACAAGATTCCCGGCAACTCGGCACCAACCCTCAACAGAACAGCAGATCTAGCCTTGGCCTTGGCCTTGACGTCGACGATGCAGAGCGGCCATTCGGCCGACGAGACGATGGCTTACTCTTTTTTTCACACCGTATCTATGACGAACCGTACCAAGCGTGGGAGCCATTCGTCAATGCGTGCAGATCGATAGTTCTAGCGAGGCCAAGAAAACTGGCGGAGTTCATAACCTCCTACTCCGTCTCTTCGTCTCTATGGCTCCTTCGGGGTTAGTCCTTTGCTTCGAAGCCGAGAGGGCGAGATATCTAAACACATTATTCCGTCACACGGCGTTAGTCACCATCCGAGAAAGAGCGAGGTCCGCATAACCTTGAAACACGTTTGTCGTGATACCTTCCCATTACGTAGACCGGCTTGCTTTTGCGTGCAACCTGTCGGGCAAGTTACACGAGCACGCCTTCCATTGGCAGCTAGACGCGCGGAATGGGTGATGCTCCTGGAGTGTCTTGGTAAGGTATCGTTCGGACTTACAGCCACTAAGATATCCAAGACATCTCTAAGAACTGTCCGAATGACAGGCACCAATCCTACGGTCCGGGCTGCCGCCTGTGTACTACTGTGCAGACAGACATCTCTACCAATGTCACCCATCATCGCAACGAGACAGTAAGCAGCACTAGCACGTCAGACAGCATACCACGGTACCGGTAGAGTTGTTGAGGGACTTACACCGAATGCGGTAAGTCTGGTCCGACTGTACATCGGCAATCCTCCGTTGCTGCGCGGGAGGTATAATAAGTCTAAACGTGCGACAGCTTGGCCGGGCTGTACGTTAAGGTTACCAGGGTAGTATTCCGTCAGCGTTAAGCGTTTTTGCCAGGAGGAGGCAGGCAGGGCAACGCAGGACGGGCAGTTGTTGCAGAAAAGGCCTAGTAAACCGGCAGGAAGCAAGAGATCGACCCAACAAAGCGACCAACATACGGGCCATGCATCCATCGTAGGGCTGAGGCGTCAAGGTTTAAAGCAGTAAGATGCTCGGACTTGCTAGTGGGTAAGCGGAGACCACCACCGCAGATTTAAGCTTACCACTAGAGTGTGCAGATAGGAAGCTTGGCCGAAAGAAGGAAAAGTGACCGAACGTACATTTGGTGACATGGACGATGATGACAGGACGGCATCCAGTGTCGGCAGACTAGTTGCGCCTATCCTGCTCGCCTAGAGCCCTGTCCGCACATCAATGTTACGTTCTGGGAGGCTGGGAGAGGAGTTCGGCCTCAGATTTGGCGCGCCCAGGACTGCCAGGGAGCCCAAAGAGCCCAGATGTGCGCCCATAAACGTCATCCTCTGTCGGTTGACTGCGAAAGATGCACCGAGACGAAATTATCTTCCCAGTGTCCACTGGACGCCACTGATGATCATCAACGCGACTTCGAGCCGTGCGAGCGATTTCGCTGTTAGCGACACCGCCGGAGCGGAATGCCCGACCGAATCCCGTCCGTAGATGCAGCGAAACGACGAGCTGAACACTGCCTCTGTTTGGAAACTAGACCGACAGGAAGGATGATAAAGGGGGGAAGAAAGTCAGGACCAGAATAGCCACGGGCGAAAGACGGAAAGAGAAGGAGGCTAAACTCTCAGGCGGAGTAGTTGAAGCAGACGATGTCGGAGGTCGTGGTTCTCGCCAACGGCTCAAGACTTTGTTGTTCATGCGTTTCTTGCCATTCCCGCTTGTAGACAAACAAGCGAGAGGCCGAGACTAGGCGTCTCAGACGTAGGATCACGAACATGATGAATAGGGGCTCAAAGGGAAAAAGGAGACAGAGTCCTTACGTTTGCTATCGACGATGATGCCGAGCCTCTTGGTGATGCAAAGGGGGCTTGGATAGCCTCCCAATGCTTTTGGCCTGGTCCCAGGTTGAAAGCTGGCCAAGTGGTCACACCTTCCCACAACACATCCTCCAACCAGTGATCGACGACATAGTCATGGTGCGAACGAAGAGTGCTCGGGACAGATCACAAAGTGTTTGGGCAGCCATGGCGGGCATGGGTAGCAACGATGCCACGCCAGTGAATCGAGGCTGATGTGGCTTGAGTCCAAGACCGCCTGAAGAAAAGACGCAAGGATGCTGGCCTGATGGAACGAGAGACTTCGTCATTGGATGGACGGTGTCGGTGTTGAGGCAGAGATGCCCAAACGAGCACAAGAGGCGGGTGTTTCAGAGTCCGGGTTCGGGTGCCCTTTTTATGCGTTTGACTCTCCCCTTTTTCGCAGTGAACGATGCTGAAGAAGTGTATAAGCCCTTGGTAGTCAGCTCAAGAGGTATGTGAGACGGTATGTGACCTGATTCATACGCTTCTCTACTGCTGAAAAGTGAAGCTATTCGGAGAATCAGGCCGGTCTTTGCGTTCTGTGGAGGTTCGAGATTGGACTCCAACGACAAGCGTGGGACCTGAAGTTCTGAGCCCTTGTCGGCCATTGCCGCTTATCGATAAGCTGCAGCTACCCCTTAGCGCCCGCAAGGATGTCTCTCATCCAAGACACTGCTGCTGGCAGTGACGGCCAGGTGGCCAATCAATCGCCGGGCAACGCGGCGGTGGAGAAGTTCCCAGAGTTGCATTGTTTACATAGCGCAACCGACATCACCGCCGTTGGAATCAACACCACGCCTAGCAAACACTTAGCCAGTCTTGGAACCAATTTTGGACGAGAAGGCTTATCTACACCAGTTGGACGACCATCTTCACTATCCATCCAGTCTGTCGCTTCTTCCGAATATTCTACAGCCTCGTCCCTCTCCGACAACAATACCCCTTTCGACTCGCGCCGATCCTCCATCTTAAGCAGTGCATCGTCCCACACGAGCCATTCCTCCGAATCCCAGTACCCACGACACCCTCTGTGCAGCTCCCCAGAGGAGCAACACCAACACCAACACCAACACCAACAGACTCCCATACCCAGAAGCCGCCACAACGCAAAGCAGCTGCATGCAGCCCGCCTTCAGCGATCAGGCTCGACCAGCCTAAGCATCGGCTCCAAGAAGGACGGATCCCCGACATCCAAGACCCGGCGCTTCCGCAAGAACAGTTCCCAACCGGGGGACGCCCTCTCCGCCACTGAACCGCCGCACGAGCAAGGCCTGACGAGGATGGCCTTTGCCGAGCAGCAGCGCTGGATCACGGTCCAGCAAAAGACCTTCACCAAATGGCTCAACACTAAGATCGAGGCCAGGAGCCTCGAGGTCAAGGACCTCGTTAAAGACCTGAGCGATGGCGTCATGCTGATACACCTGCTCGAGTGCCTCTCAAACGAGTCGCTGGGGCGCTACGCCGCGAAGCCGAAGCTTCGGGTGCAGCGGTTCGAGAATGCGAATATCGCTCTGGATTTTATAAAGTCGAGGGGGATACAGATGACGAATATCGGCGCCGAGGACGTGGTGGACGGAAACAGGAAGATTATTCTCGGCCTGATATGGACGCTCATCTTGCGCTTCACCATCAACGACATCAACGAGGAGGGCATGACGGCCAAGGAGGGTCTGCTGCTATGGTGTCAGCGCAAGACGGCCTGCTACGACGAGGTCGATGTGCGGGACTTTAGCGCCAGTTGGAACGATGGGTTGGCGTTTTGCGCTCTTCTCGATATCCACAGGCCGGATCTGATCGATTATGATGCCCTGGACAAGACGGACCATAGGGGAAACATGCAGATGGCGTTCGATATTGCACACAAGGAGATCGGCATCCCGAAGCTGCTCGACGTGGAGGATGTCTGCGACGTTGCGAAGCCGGACGAGAGGAGTTTGATGACATACATCGCCTACTGGTTCCACGCTTTCTCGCAAATGGAAAAGGTCGAGAACGCGGGGAGGAGGGTGGAAAAGTTTGTCAATAACATGCAAGGGGCGTGGGAGATGCAGAGCGCTTACGAGAGGAGGATGGCGGAATTACTGAAGGCAGTGAGGACACAAATAGTCAAGTGGCAGGAGGCCAGATTTGAGGGCACCTATGTCGATGCAAAGAAACAGGCGACAGAATTCTCAGCATACAAGAGAGGGAAGAAGAGGGATTGGGTTGCAGAAAAGAGCGACTTGGCCACGCTGCTGGGAAACATCAAAACAAAGTTAGGCACCTACAGGTTAAGGCCATACGAGCCACCGGCAGAGCTAAGGCTGGAGGTCATGGACCAAGCCTGGGCGGACATGGCCAAGGCGGAAATGACGAGGGGTCAACTCATCAACGAAACGATCCGAGAGTAAGTTCGTCCGAAGTCCGTTGTTGCTCGAGACATCAGGCTAACACTACCCACAGCATCAAAAACGGCCTGAGGAAATCCTTTGCCGACAAGGCAAATGACTTTGCCCTAGCCCTCAACACGATGCAGCTCGCCATCTCGGGGCTGGAGGGCGACGTGGAAGACCAGCTGCACCACGTGCGCAAGCTGTCCGAGAACCTGCCGCCCCTGGACGCGTACCTGAAGACCATCGAGGCCGTGGACGCGAAGTGCCAGGAGGCCAACATAGAAGAGAACGACTTCACGACGTACACGTACGACGAGCTGTGCTACGAGCTGTCGCTCGTAAAGACGTCGGTCTCTAAGAAACTCGCCTTTCTCGAGAACCAGATCGTGGCACGGAACATGACGAACCTGACGCCCATCCAGCTCGAGGAGTTCGAGTCCGTCTTCCGGCACTTCGACCGGGACGACACGAACAGCTTGGCGGAGCTGGAGTTCTCGGCCGCGCTGGCGAGCCTGGGGCTCGTCTTCAGCGAGGACGAGATGCACGAGTACTTCCTGTCGACGTCCAACGGGCGGGACAGGGTGACGTTCGAGCAGTTCATCCGGTTCATGGTCGAGGCGACCGAAGACCAGAACACGGCCGAGCAGGTGTTCCAGAGTTTTAGGGAGGTGGCGGACGGGAAGCCATATGTCACCGAAA